CTGTACCCTTAGGTGTACAGGGATAAATCCTACCATAGTATAACCAGAGTCTCCTGGAGGGAGAGCGTAAGATTTGTGAATAGATCTATTCGGGACTGACAATCCCACACCCGAACTGCTAGCTACAGTTGGGCAGGCATGCCTAGGGTGACAAATGTCATTTAACTCGACGCCTGAAGAACGTTGGAAAGGTCTCTAGTCATATCAAGCATGGTTATACGACTCACATTATGTATAAATCACCTTTAGTTTACAACCTGGCACTCTTCAACGGTTTTATTTTTACTAAATAGAACTGATACATACTACGTATACTGGCTAAAGCCAGGGTTTTCAAACAAAATCGATTATGCAATGGTTTCACATACAAAATACTTATACTTCATGATTAGTTTTAGATAGTCACATGAGGTAGTATTTTCGCATATCACTACAGTTTTCAGTAACGAACATTCATGGTTATATACGAAATCGATAACACTACCTTTTCACTAAAGAAAATATCGGATTTTCTTGGAAACATATAGATATTCATGGTTTATTACAGAACTGATAACACTACATTTTCACTAAGGAAAATATTGGATTTGCTTGAAACTATACAAATATTTTCCGAACTCATCAACGATTTTCACTACAAACCACCGCTTATGAACTCACCAACTTTATGCTGATACTCTTTCAAACTGCTTGTATTCTCAGGAAATCAGTAGACATGTACTTGCTGGGTTTTTGAGGAACTGGAGCAATAAGAGTTTTATGTTTATACTATACAAAGCTATTGGATGTAATTCAAACAAAGTTTCAGACAAAGTTTCAACTGATGTAAACATTTTTATTTAAGTATTCACTGTAATGGTTGTGTTGCTATGATTGCTGTTATTCATTGGTTGTGATGCTACACATGACGTCCTCCGCCCCGGAACGTTTCCGCCATCGGTTTCGGGGTGTGACAATATTGATTGTTTAACCCTTCATCTATGCATGATTAATAACATTTTTTTATTAGTCATTATGATTTGAAATTATGAAAAATGTTATTTTTCTCAACCGTGGTTTCCATGGGTTTAAACACAAACTACTTGATAATATATTAATCATATTCATTATAATGAATACTATTTCATATTGAAATATGTTAGCCACTGATTTTTCACAGTACTAAAAATATATAACATAAAATATAGTAATATATAACATATAATTAGAATAAAAACAAAGTATATACATATGAAATAAAAGCATTATCAAAATCCAAGAAAAAACATTTCTCCATAAATTGTTGAATATTATTGGCAGTGTATCGTAAGAACCCTATAAACCAATTACGTATTTTATTGGGGGTGTTGCTAAATTGACACCGCTTAGACACCCTATGAACACTTTTATTTAAAGTCAACCAATAATAAACTATTTATAATTTGCTTTTCCGGAAAACAATGCAAATTTAACCAATAAAAATATCTTAAAATTCAAATAGGGTGTCTATATGAAAAAATAAGGCGTCTTTTTAACCAACCCCTTTATTGGTAAGTGAAAAGACGAGATAACGAGTTATTAATATTGCGTTAACATATATGTAATGGAATATGTGAGTATTAAATGTGATTTTGAGTGGAAAACCTAGTGGTCTAAAACCTTAGAAAACCTCAAGGGTGTTATTGAAATAAGCGAGGGCTAAAAGCAATTAATTCACCTTTTAAGTTTTCCCCTTGATGAGTTGATTGATAGATCGTATATTCTATGTCCATATTAGCTTTTAGTATTTCACATTATATTCATATGTATGATAGTGTGGCAGTGTATCGTAAGAACCCTATAAACCAATTACGTATTTTATTGGGGGTGTTGCTAAATTGACACCGCTTAGACACCCTATGAACACTTTTATTTAAAGTCAACCAATAATAAACTATTTATAATTTGCTTTTCCGGAAAACAATGCAAATTTAACCAATAAAAATATCTTAAAATTCAAATAGGGTGTCTATATGAAAAAATAAGGTGTCTTTTTAACCAACCCCTTTATTGGTAAGTGAAAAGACGAGATAACGAGTTATTAATATTGCGTTAACATATATGTAATGAAATATGTGAGTATTAAATGTGATTTTGAGTGGAAAACCTAGTGGTCTAAAACCTTAGAAAACCTCAAGGGTGTTATTGAAATAAGCGAGGGCTAAAAGCAATTAATTCACCTTTTAAGTTTTCCCCTTGATGAGTTGATTGATAGATCGTATCTTCTATGTCCATATTAGCTTTTAGTATTTCACATTATATTCATATGTATGATAGTGTGGCAGTGTATCGTAAGAACCCTATAAACCAATTACGTATTTTATTGGGGGTGTTGCTAAATTGACACCGCTTAGACACCCTATGAACACTTTTATTTAAAGTCAACCAATAATAAACTATTTATAATTTGCTTTTCTGGAAAACAATGCAAATTTAACCAATAAAAATATCTTAAAATTCAAATAGGGTGTCTATATGAAAAAATAAAATGTCTTTTTAACCAACCCCTTTATTGGTAAGCGAAAAGACGAGATAACGAGTTATTAATATTGCGTTAACATATATGTACTGAAATATGTGAGTATTAAATGTGATTTTGAGTGGAAAACCTAGTGGTCTAAAACCTTAGAAAACCTCAAGGGTGTTATTGAAATAAGCGAGGGCTAAAAGCAATTAATTCACCTTTTAAGTTTTCCCCTTGATGAGTTGATTGATAGATCGTATCTTCTATGTCCATATTAGCTTTTAGTATTTCACATTATATTCATATATATGATATTGTGTCGGTGAGTAAGAGATTGTTTACATGAAAAGCATGAAGATATGGATGGTGGAAATAGAGATAATAGTCAACAAGTTTTGTATGAACCATATGGTTTCAAAAGTTGCTATAGAAAATGTGGTGACAATGTCCATCTCATCTTCTGTTATATGTTTTGTTTACATGAAGATGGATGAAACACCAAGGAGGCGACACCTTGATAAAGAAGGTAGAAGTTGGTTGGTGGGATTGGGGGGGGGGATATTTTTATTAAAGTGTATATAAATTATAAGAAAATAATAGAAAATGTTGAAAAATATAATATAAGGATATGTTTTATGTTTGTGAAGGACAAAAACCAAACAAAAAAAAATTATAACAAATTAAAGGACTGTTTGAGTGAAAAAGAATTAATAGGGAGCAAAGCTGCAAATAACCGCAAACCACATGAGCAATTTATGTAATTTACTAAAAAATTCTAATTTGCACAAAAATCGATATTGCTGTAATGCACGAACGTATATAAAAGGTGGTTTCTGGTGTTAGGGTTTAGGCAACTCGTAGATTGTAATTTCTTCGATTAAGAGGTATGTCATTCTCAAACCATAGATATTAGGGCATTCGAATTTCACATTTCTGGATGCTTTTACTTTTGAAATTCTTTGTATCAGTTGATTGGAATTGATAATTCAAAAGGTATTAAATAAGCAGGCGACCGTGCAATTAGGAGAAGATGTTTCTCTTTCTGCTTTTTGTCTGCTGTATTAGCGAAATTATGGTAATTTGACCGATGTGTGGAGTAGTTAAAATCTATATCGATGCTGCAGTATTTACAAAATGCCAGACCAATACCATTTTGATTTCAAATTCAGATCTTCTACGCTTCAAATTCTAAGATTGACACGGATGTTTGAGATTTTAACTTTTAATCTTCATGGTGATAGCTATTTGCTGTTTAATGTACACATCTTTTTTTTTTTTTTTTTTTTTAAATCTTTTATCAAAATAGTTCTTATCAAGTTTTCAAGTTGCTTAAATACCACATTTGACATTATTTTTATTATTTTGTTTTTAGGCTATATATATAACTGATGACATGAGTATCCGACAATTAGCCTATTAAGATGGAATTGGGGATTTTTTTATCTCTCATTTGATCATTCGTATGTCACTTTTTTATTTAGTTTTGCTATTTCAGAAATACATTTTTATATCTCTTCTTATGGTGTTAAAGGTTAATAACTTCTTTTGGTGTATCCACTTTTATTATTAGTGCAAAAATTCGGTTCCCAGTTACTTTTTTTTTTAAAAAAAAAAAAGGAAGATTGGTTATGATGTAGCATTATGTCTATCACTTTTTTGGATACTAAATTCCAATAAACCATGTCTTGGTCAAGATAACACTCATCCACATATAGCTAGCTAAAAGAGTTATCATATTGCTATGAACTCAAAAATTGAAAGTGAATCAAGAACAGAGATTCTGAGAATAAGTGATTGTAATGTCAAATCTCAATTAAAATCAAAAACTTCAAAAAAAAAAAAAGATAACCCTAGCGTGTTCGAGAGGCTAGTCTCTCCCTAGATAAAATACGATATATGAAAATAAGATAACTCTCTCTCTTCTACCTGTACGCCTTATAAATACACCGTAACAATGTAAATAATGTGAAATACCTAAATTACCCCTTCACTAACAGATGCTCATTTATTTTGCGAAGTTTCCAAAAAAAAAATGTGGACTTAAATGGATGTGTAGCACATATTTTCAAACAACCTTGATACATTTACAAAAGTGGAAAAATATTGAAGATGTGATTTGTTGAATCGGTGTTAGGAAATAGAATTTTGTTGATGAGACCCCTGTTGGAGGCCGTAAGATGATAAGACCAGCCCTATAAGCAGCACTACCTGATGCATTATTACTGCTATGATCGTTTCCATATTTAGTTGCGTTAGGATCCAACATGTATATATCAGAGGTATTCTTATGAGCTATCTAAGTAATTGATTTTATTTTACATTATAAAGTGCAGTTGATATGGGATTGTGATTTGTGGAGCCAAAAGAGAAGGAATGATGGTTATCTAGCTAAAAACAGAAAAGAAGCAGCAATGAGAATGGATATGGATTCTAAATTGTGTTCGGAATCACAAGAAAACTAGGATATATTGTATCTATGTGCTTGACTGCATATCTGAACGAGGTATAACAACAGAGAATGGAGTTTGATCATGATCATGTTAGGAGGCGAGTGGTCGAAGAAGACAGATTGAGCAGCTTGCCAGATGAGCTTGTTCATAAGATCCTTTCCTATTTTGACATGAAATATGCTGTTCAAACGTGTTCGTTGTCATCAAGATGGGAGCTTCTCTGGACATCAATGCCTTGTCTTAACTTGTCAAGTAGGGAGTTTAGTTGTTTACGAAAGTTTGGCAAATTTGTTAATCATGTTTTGTCTCACCGCAACCATCAAGTAGAAGTGTCTTCTGTAAAGCTACATTTCAGTGGAGCAGCTAGTCAGGTTTCCGTGAGAAAAGATTGCAAGTTATATGTTCTCTCACAATGTCCAACAACTCACTGTCACTAGTTGGCCCAAAAAACACCATGAATTCCCTCCTTCCCTTTTTAGCTCTCAGACTCTTAAGCATCTCACATTGATTAACCGCCCTCTTTATACTTCACCTTGCATTACACCCAAAACACCTTGGGATTTCCCAGCTTTAACAACTTTGCGTCTTAGCCACATCACATTGTGTGATGATCACACCGAAAAGTCTCTTGATCTTTTCTCCAAATGTGTAAACTTAAAGAACCTCACTGTAGAAGATTTTCATTGTCAATATCCAAGTAGTTGACATCATTACCCCTCGACTTTCTAATCTCATGCTTATCGATGGCAGACGCTCATTTGTCATCAACCTGGTTGCACCTCAACTTGAACATCTCACAATAATTAATTGTTCAATCGATTACTTGAATGCTCCACCAGGACTTTCATCTTTGTGCTACACGGGTGATCTTCCTCAACAATTCTCCAAAGATCGATTTCATTCTCTGAACAAAGTGTCGATCTGTTGTTATATGTACAGGCCATATAAGGAGAAAGTTGCACGCAAGGCTATTAAAATGCTTCAAGAGCTCCATAGTGCCAGATATCTCACACTTAATGTGGACTTTGTTGAGGTATGTTGATATCATGATTCATGTCACCCATTTGTGGCATCTAGTGGTGCTTCCGTTCCATGCGAGTATAACTGAAGTTCAAGATGAATTTTAATTAAATACTTGGTAGAACAGCAGGTATACAATCTTATATATAATTATGCATCTTTAATGTATCAAATTCTTGTCAATTTTCTTTTTGCAGTGTCTTTCCTCTCATCCTGATTTATTAATGCACCGTCCTTCACCTTTTAGCAACTTAATCTGCTTGGCTATAGACTCCAGCCTGAGGATCAATGATGCATACAAAGTAAAAATGTCTACCGAAGCTAGAAACTTCTTTCTTGAGAACTCTCCAAACGCCACATTCATCATGGAATTACCCGAGGTACTTTTACAGAATCATATACTCATTGCAACCATTTTCTCTTAACTTAAAAATTCTTGCAAACTCTGTAGCCACCACCTACAAAAACAATGAAGCAGAAAGAAGCTAGGGCAAAAAAGGCCAAACGAGCTGCAGAGATTGCAAGCCATATGACAGAATTCCAAGCCTTAATGTTAGATCATGAAAATGTTGAGCGAAAGCAGGCTAAGGAAAAGGCTAAGGTACCCTTCGAGAAGGTTATGGCAGAAATGAAAGCTCAAGTAGGGAAGATGCATACTGAGACTGCAAAGAGACTTATGGAAGAGTTTAAGATCTGTGTGGAGGAGTTGCGGGTTCTTGTTAAGGAAGAAAAAGCAGAAATTAACGCCATCATTTCAAAGGAAGCCCTAATCAGATCATTACTGGAAAATATGCCTAAGAGAGAGAGGACAGTGGTTGAAACATGCTACTCTCAACAGCTTGTGGAAACAGAAGCACTACATGTTCGTCTAGCCTCGGAGTTTGTGGCTTCAGAAGGAATCTTTTTTCGTGAAAAACTCCTGACTTGTATCTTAGAACACCTCGCATCATCTTCCTCCACAACAACAGTAAGTTTCTGATTTCATTTATGACTCTGCGTAATTTTGTATATTTGTACTCCTGAATCCAATATTGATGCCTTTTTAACTTTGCTTAATGTAAGATTCTGTTAAAAGGTAATATAATGCAAACTTGTCATTTATAGAAGAATGGTCTTAATATGTCATTTATTCAATTGTAGAGGGGTGTTGTGGTATCTTTTGGTTTTGCAGGTATAATTTGTACGCGGGTTGTTTAACCCGGATCCGGGTTTGCCCCGGTGTATTTAATGTTGGTTTCTTTCTCATTTGCGTAGATTAGATGATAAGTTTTACTCTCTCACTCATATTGTTCTCTCCAGTTTAGGGTTTGTATTAGGGTTTCTGTTCGTATTCTTTTGATTTTGTTTCAGTGAGTTCTTGTTGATCATTAGAGAGCAGAGTGTTATTGTAGTGAGGTTTTCTGTGTAATCTGTTTGATGTAAACCAACTGTTTCATATATAAATGAAATGTTGATGTTGGGAAATTATGAGTTTATACTTTCGTACATGGTATCAAAGCAAAGGTTCAACTATTCAATGTAAAAATTGTGGTCTAAAAGGACATACTATTGAGAAATGTTATAAAATAATTGGATACCCAAAGGATTATAAACCTAGGAGTGATGTTAATCAAAATAATCAAGTTAAAAATTTTAATGCAAACTCATCTGTAGTTACTACTGGATCAACTGATCCTGGAGAATCTGAGAGAATCTGAATTTCCTCAGCTTACTAAGGATCAATATGTCAAGTTTCTTAGTCTAATAGGAGAAAGAAAGTGCAATGAGGAAGCATCTGTCAGTTCCAATATGGCAGGTACTTGCTTGTTTAATGTTTGTAATTCATCTTATAATGGTAATAAATGGATAGTTGATTCTGGTGCTAGTCAACATATGATAGCATCAGAATCTCTTTTGCATGATACTGTGGATGTATCTAAGCTTAATCTTCTTGTTAGTCACCCTAATGGAACTTGTGCTAAAATAGAAAAAATTGGAAACTTAAATATTTCAAACTCTTTAACTCTTTTTGATATGTTTGCTGTTCCTGAGTTCAATGTCAATCTGATGTCAGTTCACAAAATCTGTAAAGATAATAAGTGTGAAGTTATTAATGAACATAGTTGCAAAATTCAGGATTTACACTCAAAGGAGATGGTGGGGAATGGTAGTGAAACTGGAGGTCTCTATTATGTTGATAGTGTACCTTCTGGTAATTCCTTTACTTCTAATTATGTTATATGTTATGTTTCTAAATTAACATGGCATAGTAGACTTGGTCATCCTTCTGACCAAGCTCTGAATTCTTTAAAGACACATCTTAAATTTGGAAATGAGTCTTTACCTCCTTATGATGTTTGTCATAAGGCTAAACAAACAAGGAATTCTTTTCCTACTAGTCAGCATGTCACTTCTTGTTTAGGTGAACTTATTCACTTAGATGTGTGGGGTTCTTATAGAGTGATCACTTCAGAAGATTTAAGTTCTTTCTTACTATAGTGGATGATTTCACTAGGGCAACTTGGATTTACTTGCTTAAGTCTAAAAGTGAAGTTTTTTCTTGTGTTACTACTTTCTTTAATCTTTTGGTGAATCAATTTGAAGTTAAAATTAAAAAGGTTAGGTCTGATAATGGGACAGAGTTTTTAAATCATAACATGAAAACTTTTTTTGAGAATAGAGGTGTTATTCATCAAACATCTTGTGTTCATACACCTCAACAAAATGGGGTGGTTGAAAGAAAACATAGACATATTCTAAATGTAGCTAGATCATTAATGTTTCAGTCAGGTTTGCCTTTGACTTATTGGGGTGATTCTATTTTAACTGCTGTTTTTTTGATAAATAGAACTCCCACTTCTGTATTAAATGGAGCCTCTCCTTATGAACTTGTTTATAAGTCTATTCCTAGCTTTGATAAACTTCGTGTTTTTCGGTGTCTTTGTTTTGCAACTAAACTGAATAACCTTGACAAATTTTCTGAACGTGCTGAAAAATGTGTTTTACTTGGGTATTCTTTGGAACAAAAAGGTTATAAGGTTTTGAGTCTTGATTCAAATTTTGTTTTTGTTTCCAGGGATGTCAAATTTTATGAATCAGTTTTTCCATTCAGGCTTGATTCTTTTTCTGGTGATAAAACTACTAGTTTTAATAATCCAAGTGACCCATTTTCCTATGATGACCCTCAATTGTCTAGTTCACTTCAAGAAAATAATAATTTAGGTGATTTAGGGATAACCCTTCATTCTGAAGGTACTGGAGCAGATCATAACCTGGATGAGACCTCTAATGATGAGGTCAGCAACCAAAGTGACAAGACACATGTGCAACCGAATGTTGTGGATGTTCCTAGTTCATCTATTATGTCTGAGGATAGTATCTTAGAGCAAAATAATCCTTCTGATGATCACTTATTAGGTACTACTCGATCTGGTAGAAATGTTCGTTTACCAACAAGATTTAATGACTTTGTTGTGGAAAGTTCTCACAAGTATGGGTTAGAAAAGTCTGTGAATTATTCTTTGTTAGCCAATGATAGTAAATGCTTTGTGTCTAATCTTAATAAAACATTTGAACCTAGTACTTATTCTGAAGCTTCTACTGATCCAAATTGGATCAAAGCTATGAATGAGGAAATGGAAGCCTTATATAGGAATCATACTTGGGATATTGTTGATCTTCCTAAAAACAGAAGTCCTATTGGTTGTCGTTGGATCTATAAAATTAAATACAAATCTAATGGTGAGGTTGAGAGATATAAAGCTAGACTAGTTGCTAAAGGATATAATCAAAGAGAAGGTATAGATTATGAAGAAACTTTTTCTCCTGTTGCTAAGATTGTTACTGTTAGGATTGTTATTTGTGTGGCTGTTAATAATTCATGGCCTCTTTATCAATTGGATGTTAATAATGCCTTTTTATATGGTGACTTGGTTGAAGATGTGTATATGACTTTGCCAGAAGGTTATCATACTAAAAATGATAGTAGAGTGTGTAAACTGGTTAAGTCTTTGTATGGTTTAAAGCAGGCTCCACGAAAGTGGAATGAGAAACTTTGTTCATCTTTGTCAGTTTTTGGTTTTGTTCAAAGTTTAAATGATTATTCTTTATTTGTTCGTTCAAAAAATAACACCATTGTCATTTTATTAGTATATGTAGATGATATAATTCTAACTGGTAACAGTTGTGTGGAAATTGAAAATGTAAAATCTTTTCTTAAGTCACAGTTTAGAATTAAGGATCTAGGGTTGTTGAAATATTTTCTGGGTATTGAAGTTCTTTCTACTGGTAATGGTGTGTGTCTAAATCAAAGGAAGTATTGTTTGGAATTATTACATGAATTTGGTATGCTGGGATCTAAGCCTGTTAAAACTCCTTTGGAAGTTAATTTTGTGTTTAATAGAGACTGTGATGATAATACTGATCTTATAAATAATATAACAGAGTTCCAGAAACTCATAGGAAAACTGATTTATCTCACTGTTATTAGGCCTGATATTAGTTATGTTGTTCAAGTATTAAGTCAGTTTATGCACAAACCAAGGAAATCACATTTAAATGTTGCTTTCAGATTATTAAGATACTTGAAAGAGTGTCCTGGTAAAGGTGTTTTATTTTCTAAATCTAGTATTTTTGATATTGTTGGTTATGTGGATGCTGATTGGGCCAAGTGTTTGACAACTAGGAGGTATGTTTCTGGGTATTTGGTATATTTAGGTAACACTCTTATTTCTTGGAAGAGTAAGAAGCAAAGCACAGTGTCCAGATCCTCAACAGAGTCTGAATACCGTGCTTTGGGTTCAGTAACATGTGAAGTGTTGTGGGTTTTAAAGATTTTAAGTGATCTTGGTTTTAAAAATTTAACTCCTGTTAAATTGTTTTGTGATAATGAATCTGCTATTAAGTTAGCCTTAAATCCAGTTTTTCATGAAAAAACAAAACATTTTGAAATTGATGTGCATTTTGTAAGGGAAAAAATTGAAAATAATGTTTTAAAATTAGTTAAGATAGATTCTTCTAATCAAAATGCAGATATTTTAACTAAGTCCTTAAGTTCTTTTCAACATGAATACTTGTCAAAAAGACTTGGACTTGTAAATTTGTTTTCTGGTAAATAAATTTGTATAAAATGACAAGTTTGAGAGGGGGTGTTAAAAGGTAATATGATGCAAACTTGTCATTTATAGAAGAATGGTCTTAATATGTCATTTATTCGATTGTAGAGGGGTGTTGTGGTATCTTTTGGTTTTGCAGGTATAATTTGTACGCGGGTTGTTTAACCCGGATCCGGGTTTGCCCCGGTGTATTTAATGTTGGTTTCTTCTCATTTGCGTAGATTAGATGATAAGTTTTACTCTCTCACTCATATTGTTCTCTCCAGTTTAGGGTTTGTATTAGGGTTTCTGTTCGTATTCTTTTGATCTTGTTTCAGTGAGTTCTTGTTGATCATTAGAGAGCAGAGTGTTATTGTAGTGAGGTTTTCTGTGTAATCTGTTTGATGTAAACCAACTGTTTCATATATAAATGAAATGTTGATGTTGGGAAATTATGAGTTTATACTTTCGTACAGATTCCTACACGTTCCACATCCAACATCAACCCTATGCCGTGAACCACCCACCCAGGTAACCCTTATATTCTCTACAACAGTAATTACTAATTAGCGGGGTGGGATGTGAATAATATGATTTTTTTTTTCAAAAAAGAGGCTGATTCAATACCAGTTTCGAACGTTACTAAACTGAGATATTGTTTTTCTTTTTGAAAAACTCTCGAATTAGTAACGAGAATGAAAACTTTTTTTCCTTAAATTCTAGAACAAACTGGATACACCACGTTTCATCTCGACCAATTTGGTATAAATTCAGCTAAATTATCATTATTATATTTTTTTAGTGATGTCGTTTATTAAAAATAATATATGTATATTTTTTTTTATTAATTTATAGTTAATAAATTAAGTAAATATATTGAAAAGGTTGGGAGGTTATAGAATAGAAATAAAAAACAAAGCGTTAAAAACTTTATATAAATAGAAACAATATAGATAAATTTTCCAATACTTATAAAATAACAATACCTCTATTAGTCACATATTACAAATAAGGGTTAATGCATGACTTTTAGTAGTGGGATTCAACCGTGACTTTAACACGTAGCTTCAACTTTTATTGGCAGGGATGTTAATGATTATGCCAATATGAAGATGTTAGTCCTCATTGGATTCATGAAAAAGTCGGATGTATCATCGTTTGAATTGGCTTTTGTTACATAAATTATTGAATCTTACTCTTTTGGTTCTTTTTTCTTCAGATTTTTTTTTTATTACTATATGCCTTAGCGAATGTTAATGATTTTTTTTTGAAGATTACAACACAAAAACTCAGTTCTTTACAACAATGTCACTCCTTGCAATAATGTCCTTCAATTTCTTTTTGTTGTTCCTCTAGTTGACTGTTTCACAGCTCTCGATAGCAACCTTCATATAAAAATAAGCATCGTCCGTGAAAATTCTTTGCAACAACAAAAATGCTAATGTTATGGGCAAAAGCGGAAATGAGTTGTGAATTGAACAAAAACAATCGTCTTCTTCACAAAGATAATCACATTGGTTGGTACTAGAGGACTTTGCAACCCCTTTTATCTTATTTTATTCATCATGTATGACCTATAGACATACTTTTGAGTTTTGAACACAAAGATATATGAAAGAAACGAGGAAACGAAAATCGAGTTTGTGTGTGTTGACTCCACCTCTTTTCATAGATGAAATTTCACAACCTTTTGGAATTTCTCTACAAAAAAAATGCCAATTAGTAACAAAAACAAAATGGTCACCTCGAGTCGTCACTAAACGATTTGGTGACCAAACTTTTGGTCGTCACTATAGGTCCGTTAGAAAAAATGATTAGTGACGAAATATAAAAGCGGTCACTAAAGTGATGAAAATATACTGGTCACTAAATCTGTGACGACCCGTTTCGTCACTAAATGTCGTCATTAATTAATGAAAGTCGTTACTGTTTTATCTAATTAGTGACCAGAAAAAATCGTCATTGTCTTATCCGATTAGTAACCATAGAAAGTCGTCACTGGTTTATCTAAGTAGTGACCATAAAAAGTCGTCACTGATTTATCCAATTAGTTACGAAAAAAGCTCATCACTGATTTTTGTTGCTATTTCTTATATTTAACCAATTTAACTAACTAGCATGAAACTAGTCAATGGTAAAGATATAATATGATCAATTTATCAAAATTAATCTCATGAAATAATAAACATAAATTGTTCATAGATTTAATAGAACCCAGAGTATACGGTACTTAAATAAATAAAAAAATATACAAAGTAGGATTATACAAGATATTCAAAGAATATGGATTCGACTCTTTATCATAAAAAATATAAAAAGATTTGCTCCTTGGCCAACTCGTCGAGTTTCCGTTGCAACTCGCCAAGTTCATGTGTGCCAACAACCGGGAAAACCCTAACTGACTCGCCGAGTCACCCCACTGACTCGTCGAGCCCACGACAATCTTCATCGGACTCGCCGAGTTGACCATGCAACTCGCCGAGTCCCTTCAGACCATTTTCCATTCAGATGATTTTTAAGCCATCTTAAGGTTCCATATTGCAGATCCAGCTTCCCAAGGCATGTTTATCACGTAAAGTTGCAAACTTTACGTGCATGCAAGGCTCTAAAGTCTTATAATGACAAAACCAAGCTTGTAATGGAGTTTTACACTTAAGGAGGGGTTCATACTTGCCAAAGCTGATAGCTTTATGGACTTAGAGACCAAAGAGAGTTCAGATCTGAAGCTATAGCTTCAGATCTGAGCTCATGCCCAAGAATAGCTTCATAATATGCTAGAAAAGCTCAAATCTTTAACCAAACGAGATCTAGAATGAAATGAGGTCAAGGTAATGACTTGATACCTTCCAAAAGATGCCAACTGAGGTAGATACCAGATCCCCACATGTTCCTTGCTTCTAGCCACTTGCTCCCCAAGCTCTCCTTACAAAGATCCTCCTTCCAAAGCTTAAACCACACAAGAATGATGCACACACACGGATTAGGGTTTATGGACTATCAAGAGGCTGTAAGGGGAGGTTGAGGAGGCCAATGATCCTTTAAATAGGGTGCAAAACCCCGGAAATTAGGGTTTCATCCTCCAGCTCCTACTCGTCGAGTCCCTTCTTGGACTCGGCGAGTAGGTCACTTAAACACGTGAACCAACCCGCTGCTACTCGACGAGTCAGGCAACCAACTCGTCGAGTAGACCTTGAAATCATGAGAATTTATAACCATAAATTGATACTCGAGAATCGGGGCGTTACAATTCTCCCCCACTTGAACTAGACTTCGTCCTCGAAGTCTGTTGCGGTGAACATCCTCGAATAGTGCTCCCGCATCTCTGCCTCCGGCTCCCACGTCCACTCGGACCCTCTTTGGTGCTCCCACTGTACCTTTACCAAAGGTACCTCCTTGTCCCGCAGAACCTTCACCCCTCTCTCCAGAATGGCCACAGGCCTCTCCACATAATCCAGGCGCTCACCGACCTGAATGTCATCCAACGATACTACCGCCTCCTGATCCATGACGCACTTTCGCAACTGCGAATCGTGAAAGGTGATGTGAATCCCAATCGAACCTTTTCATAAGGTCTATCCTTCATGCCACTTTTCCAACTTGACAAAATCCTGATGATCCAAAGTATCGGAAACCCAACTTTCCCTTTTCCTGAAGCGAACCCTTTTTGTGTTGACAGGATATTTGTCCCAAAAATATCATACCAAATCGATCCACTAAAACACGAACACACATGCCTGGCCCAATCAGCCTCGGGCTGGAAAACCAAACATATCAGGTCCAATCGATCATAGGGTCCGGTCATCCTCAGGATGGAATAACCTAGATTGGAATACCTCTATGAACCTAACTCGAGTCTACTCATAACTTGAGATCCAAGGATCTATCCTTGCGTCTCATCCACCATCCTCAGATTCGTCACAAACGAGTGCAACTCCCCCGAATCTTCAACAATACATCCAATCCGAACGCGCTCCTACAACAGACATAACCAACACAATCTCTATACCCACAGCCTATGACTGGAATACCCTTATGTGGTCCTCAGCATAGGTCTGGATTGCCTCCAAGCCCACAACATGAGTCTGGTATGCCCTCTCCGGCCCTCAGCTCATGACTGGAATGCTCCCGATGACCGAACGACACTACTTTCGTCACTTCAGTTGCCCAACACTCCGGCCCTGCAGATATCCACTTTCCTCCGCCGCTCGAAGGGCCTAATCGAAGCTCCTCTCATCAACGAACAACATAACGATACAAAAACTACTACTACACATGAATCCCAAGCCATAAACCCACTTCAACTCTTCCTGCTACCATATGATGTTTCTCAGGCGAAGTCGAAACCTCCTAGGTCCCAACATGTCTGCCCACCACCCGAACATCGGACACCTCACCGATTACTGAACCAAAAGACACACACAAACAGCAGTCCCACGCGTCTCCCAAAAAGAAACCGACTGGCTGGACTTGCTTCCACGCCCTGCCATCAACTTCAGCCAACATAATGAACGTTACATGACCCACGTCAGCCTCACATCCTACCTAGTCTTCAGTGACCCATCTTCTGCTTACTTCAGACACGCTATGGCTCTTTCACAGATGAAACCAACCCAAGACACATCACAATAACTCAAACCATCATCAACATACCTACCACTACCGGCCAACCAGTACGACACTCATATCTAACCCATATCACCCCCTTCGGGTTGGAATACCAACATGTCTAATCAATTCAACTATCGAGTTGAAATTCTTAGGGTTTGTTGGCCTACCGCCTCAACCCTACTTCTCCCATTGAGCTTCTGTGCCTACGACTTTCAGTCGGCTCGCACCGGGTATCTTGGCCTACCGCATAAAGCAGGACCGCCTCAACCCTATCCAAATGCCATATACGATCATGAGAAAGATCTAACCTGGTTCCCAGAACCTGAATGAAAGGATATCCTAATCCCAAGCCTTCCTAAGGCTGACGAATACCCAATCGGATCTACTTCCCAGTCCTCAACTGGAGTATTACCCGATCCAAGAAGATTAATCCTTTAAGGCACTCCGAACTAATGAGATCACCAAGATCCTCTGTACTCCATCCGATCTCTAATAACAACTTCCGATAAACCCAAAAATACACCGGAGTCCTCAGCCTACTCCATCAACATGTTCAATACATGGGTACAGATCTGCTGATTGTTATAGCATAGCAGCATACTCAATACCCGCACATAGATCTACAAACACATACAAAGTCTTCAGTATTACTGGACCGCCTCACCAGGCCTTCAGTCTATCTGGACCACTCTCAGAACCTTCAATA